GTTACCGTTTTTTTTCACCTCTTTTTTCTTTTGGCGGTAACCATAATGGTGGTCGAGTAGATCATGTTGTGCGGGGTGGAGAACCCTCACTCCGCGCAAGGGGGATGATCGCACCACGTTGTGTTAAAATGGTCAAGCACCCTCGAGGCAGTTACACAGTGCCTATGACTGTCTCTGGAAGTGAAAGCACCAGAAAAGAAATTAAGTCATACGCAGCTGTCATCCGTACGCAAGGAAGTAAGCACAAGATGCCGAACACCCTTAGCAGGATGCAGCGCACCCTTCATGCGACTCGCCGAATATCTCACGGCGCTTCGCGCTTGGTGATGTGAGAGCCTGGTCCGGTGAGAACCCGGCGTGCTCCGTCCCGGCTTTGTAGGGATGCGAGGTCAATGGTCTAACGACTACGGCATGCACGACTATGAATACACCCCCCTCCCCTTCCCCCTCGCACCTAGCAGTAAGTATTCACATGAGCTAGGTAGAGGCCGGGAGCATGGCAGCATCATCATTATCAGTGGGACGTTTATTTTTGGACACGCTCCCCCAGCAGCCCCTTGTTTCTTATATCTGGGGGGCATCGCACGATCATGTTTCTTATTTGGACTTTTCTTATGTTGTGGCGGAGATTGAGCTTAGTTTCTTCTCATTTTTCGTAAAAAGTTGAGCCTTTTTTTCTGAACAGATTTTTTCTAATTGCGGGCCCGTTCTATAGACTCGTCCATGACTTCTCACCTTCCTTTACCACTTGCGTCACCCCCGGGGGGGCTGACACTCACGTGCCGAAGGGGAACCTTGTCAGAGTGTTAATTTGGCGAAGCGCCTCCACCAACGATGGATTCGAAAGTGGAGAGAGATTATCTTCTAGTCTCCTGCACACGTGATCGAGGTTTTCGTGGAGGGAAGGGCCCCTGCTGTACATGTGTTGTAGACCATCGATCTACAGAAGGGAGACAATTTGCTTTGAGCGTCCAAATTGCGGACCGAAGTGCAACGACATCGGAAGTTGGCAGCATTGCTCCAATGGCACGTATGAGATGAGATAGTCATCACGCACGAGCAGGTTCGCTCAACGTGCGTGCAGGGGAGCTGGGCGGGGGGGGGGCGAGGGCCAACAACACTGAACTGCAATATCGTTTTGGAGGGAGGGGGAACCCCGTGAAAGTACCACGACGGTGACGGCTTGGAACT